AGTCCAGATTTCATACGAATCTTGAAGAAATCTTCATTAAATCTCAAGAATAAAATATGAATTCAAGATAGATTGGAGAGAGAGAATATTTGCTGTCAAATCACCTTTTTCTCTGATTAATGATGTAATCAATGTGTCATTACAATTACAATGAAAAGACTATTTATACTAAAGAAAATAAAGCTAAACTAATTACAATAAAGCTAAGTAAATGGAGAAACTTGAATACAACATTTAAGCACTAATCTTGAACCCAACATTTTCAAAGATCCTAAACAATTCAACGACAAGACAACGCAGGCTGAGGACTCATATCCATTATATCGAAGGATAAATAGTGGAATAAATGTGAATATACGAGGCAACATCCTGGATAATAGATGGGTGGTCCTGTATAACCCGAAGCTATTAATGATGTTCAATTGTCATATCAATGTTAAGGCTTGCTCGAGTATAATATATGTGAAGTATGTCTTCAAGTATGTTTACAAGGGTCACGACAAACAAGTTGTTCATATCGATTTAGAGAAAGAAAGGGTCGTTATTAATGAAATTAGAAGGTTCCAAGATACACGTTATGTCTCCTCTGAAGGAGAACGGTTCTACCTATGCCTACTTTTATCTTATATTACTAGGCCTACTTGCTTTGAAGATCTATACAGTTTCAACGGCTTATTATACCCTACATTTCACAAAGCATCTCTTGAGAGAGGGTTAATAGAGAACAATGACAACTTATCCCAATGTCTTGCAGAAGCCTCCTTACTTCAATTTCCGGCTGCTCTTAGGAGGTTATTTGCCACGATGTTGATTATGAGCCAGGAGATGTTCGCAAGTTATGGGATGGCCACTATGATTCACTTTCGGAAGATTATATGCGACAATGTGAAAGTGTTAATCGAGTCAATAATATGGTTATAATTTATATCCTCATTTTTCTACAATCTATGGGTAAGAGTCTTGATGATTTCGATCTTCCAATGGTAGATGCAAATGCCAATTTTCAATCTGGAGAATTTCGTGAGGTACAAGAGGAAGGCTCTATAGTTGTGGAAGATGAACACTTGCGTGCCTGAGACTCTATCAATTCCGACCAGAAATACGCATATGATGAGATCATGAGGCACGTAGACGATGATTGTCCAGGAGTGTTCTTCATAGATGGTCCAGGTGGGACAGCGAAGACATTTTTTTACAAAGCTTTGCTTGCCAACATCCATTCACGTGGTCTTATTGCTCTCGTAACCGCTTCGTCGGGTGTTGCTTCCAATAATATGCCTGGAGGGAGAACATCTCACTCTAGATTCAAAATTCCTCTCAACCTTGATAACAAATCAATGTGCAACATAAAAAAACAAAGTGGGGCTTCTCAATTGATTCAAGATGCAAAAATAATCATCTAAGATGAAGTGTCGATGGCAAAGAGGCAAGCGATGGAGGCGCTCGATCGAACAATGCAAGACATCAAAGGGGTGGCACTCCCATTCGGCGGAAAGATAATGGTTTTGGTGGGTGATTTTAGACAAGTATTACCGATCATGAGGCGTGGAACCCAAGCACAGATTGTAGATTCTATCTTACGAATGTCACCTCTTTGGTTAACGATTAAAAATATACGGTTAACACTCAATATGAGAGCATGCACTGATCTGTGGTTTTCAAAATTTTTATTAAGAGTCGGTGATGGAGATGAAGAAACGGTGGATGAAAGCTTTATTCGCATGCCGGATGAGATGACCATTCTCTATACTGATAAAGGTAAGTCAAAAGATGCGTTGATTGACGCAATCTTTCCATCTCTGTAAATCAACGAAGCTGATTCGGATTATATCATTTCGAGGGCGATATTATCAACTAAAAATGAGAATGTCGATGAGATTAATGATCAGTTGATCGACAAGTTTTCTAGAGATGAAAAAAATACACTACAGCTTCGAAGAAGCAGAAGATGATAAGAATAACATCTATCTGATGGATTTCTTAAACTCTTTAACTGTTAGTGGTTTTCCTTCTCAATACCTTCGTCTCAAGATTGGATGCCCAATAATACTGTTACGAAATATCGATCCCTCGAATGGGTTATGTAATGGCAATAGATTGATATGCAGAGTCTTTTCAATGAAACGTCATCAATGCAGAAATAATTGTTGGTCAGCATGCTGGAAAGATAGTATTTCTGCTGAGAATTCCCTTATGCCAGTCCGAAGACAACATGCTCCCATTTAAGCTAAAGAGAAAACAGTTTCCAATTCGGCTTAGGTTTTATAATGACAATTAATAAAGCTCAAGGCCAAACAATTTTGAATGTAGGTGTTTATCTACCAGAATCAGTATTCTCACACAGGCAACTTTACGTGGCGTTGTCCAGAGGGATATCACGCGAAATACGAAGATGTTAGTGAAGCTTGTTAAAAAATTCAATTGTGCCAGAGTCTACACCTTAAATGTCGTCTATCAAGAAGTTTTACCTGATGAATAAAGTATAATCAACAATTATATTATTACACATTTGGTACCATATGTTTCTATTAAAATCATTGAGCCGTTTTTTGCACGAAATATTTACAGATGAGTGCATCACGAAAAACAAACAATAGTTTGGATATACGGATGAACATTATTTACAAATGATTGTATTTCTTTGTTTAGTTAAGAATTTCAAGTTTTATCATGAGCTCTGAATAGATGGGCTCAAAAACCCAATACGTGTGCAATTATTTTTTCATTCGATCTTGCTAATACACTGTATTAACCTTCAACTTTATATATTAGTTGACTTGCAAAATAACTGCACAAACTCATGATTCAAGGTCAAACTAATGTTTCAAAATTGTGATTCATCCACACTAGGTACACCACTAGTATAATATAATGAGCTTATTTTTTTTAGGAGCCCAAATTTTCATTTCAAATTAAATTATGGATATTGAAAATTCATTTTATATCATTTTCATTTTGACTCTCTTGCCTAAATCATTTATGGGTTCAACAAGAGAGTAGAAACTCTAGACAATCCATCACATGTTGAATATTTAGTGCTTATTTTCGCAAAAGTTTATTGGTTTTATAAAATGAGAAATTAAAAATAAAAATAATTATTAATTTTTGAATTTACTTTATTTTTCCCTCTACATTTTGTGTTATATGTACTGTTATCTTCGGATTCAACATATTTTATGATAAATTAGTCAAAATGTCTATACATGTTGTTTGTCGAATCCATTTGAAATGAGCATTTTGTATAGATCCACACACCTTGTTGATTTATTAACATAAAAATGTTAAATAATGTTAGCTATATGTACATAATGTATAGTTGAGGGATCAGTTTTGTCTTTTACCATGACGATTTGACCATAACTGATACTGGTGAGCAAAATCAGTAGCATCTCCTTTCATGTGTTGAGTTAAGCAAACAACTGACTAATCTCAGTAGTGGTAGTGTTGTAAAAATAGAAACTCAACCCCCCATTCTTGCAATCCCGAATTTCCTCTCTTTGCATATTCGAGTTCAGATCCACAAGTTATGCGGATTGGTTTAGTTGTGGTTCCAAATATGTATTTCCACAACAGTTTTTCCTTGAGGCGACTAGTCATGTGTCTAGCCCATAGTACGTAGTTTGAAGCATACAATATACATGAAATGGGTCTATAATTAATTGCTAGCAAGAGAGTCAGACATGGTGCAAAATAGAAAACAGAAAGCTGGTATTCGTCTAAGGTATAGACAGAGGGTTTCAACTATACATTATGCACGTGTAGCTAACATCATAATTATATCATTCAAAAGAAAATTGAAATTAGTAGACTTAAAACACTAAACTACTAGCAATTTATATGTAAATAATTATACAAAAGTTCCAAGTTTGTTGAATAACGAAGAATGTGTTAATTAAGAGACATACAATAAATTTTTATTTTTTTTTATTAACTTGGATATCCAACCCGATATGCAAGTCGACTAATCTCAGAACTCGGAGTCACCGCATTTGAACTTACGTGGCCACAATTTTATTTTTAAAACCCTAAACAAAATAGTTGTACGGAAGAAACAATTATTACAATAACAAAAATAAACCTTACAATTAATTTATCAAAAGATTAATTTCTTTAGATGTTGAGATGATTGATGAGATACAATGCGTTGCTACTAAGCCTTGCAATACGAATGATACTATTCCTAATCTTACTTTTGATCGCCGGACTGACGTTTTCCTCGGAGAATTCGTCAATGCAGGTGTTCTCGTCGGTGATGGCGGCACTCGTCCATGTCTGTGCGTTAGAAATCACGAACTTCTTGTTAGCAGACGATTTAAGGCTGGAGATTGCCTTGAGTGAGTTCTTGATTTCATCAATGGAGTCTTGGATCTCTTCGACACAGTCTTTGAGGACAGCAGCGTCGCCCTTGGTAATGTTCTTGGCCTTGGCTAGTTTGAGGACGGTGACGCGGGTGGTGGCGGCGGATTTGAGGGTGGCGGAGAGGGCATGTTTGACCAACCTTTGTGGGTTTGATTTGACGGCGGTGGCGTAAGGGAGGAGGTAGGTTAAGCAGATGGATGGATAAGTGGTGGAGTTGCATGAGGTTTTCACAAAGTTGGTGTAGGTTTTGGTGGTTTTGGTGGATGATGACGACGCCGGAACGACGACTAGGATTGCCATGGCCATGAAAATGAGAGAGAAAAGTGAAAGGAATTTGGTTTGTTCCATTGCTGGTTGTTTGGATGATTGATGATGATGATGATAAAGTTCAAAAATTTTGTTACTGAATTTATAGGCGAATTCACAGAGGAATTCGTTTGTAAAAATGTGTTTTAAAATTGATTAAAGAATTACATCAACATCGCATTTCTTGTTAGAATGCCTATACATAAAAAATGGCTGAAAGACAGGGATATAATAATACATACATACATACACACACACACACATATATATATATATATATATATATATATAAAAGTTTGTATAGTGCCAATAAAAGATATGTATTTTTGGTTATACATGTGTCATTCTGATAAGTGCAGTTAACAAACTTGAAGAATATTTGTTTAAAAACCAACTACAAATTAAACATTAGTTATTTGTATTTGTCGATTTGTGTAATAAGGTTGTTTATTGTCAAACAAATATTGTTTTTTATTATAAGTATTAAATAAAAGAATGATGAGAATAATTAAAAGTTAATAGAAGAAAGATAAGAGGTAGATTAATCTCTTGATAAATAGGAGGAAGGTAGTACTGTTCAAGAGCTTATTATAAAGAAAAAAAAAACACTCTTGTAAAAGTAATTTTAGGGTTTAAGGTTTTTAACGGATAAAACATAAGTAGTAAATAACAAGTAAGTGCAAAATATGAGTGTTTTTTTATCTCATATCTATTTTAAAGTTTGACAATTTTTTAATTCTAGATATAACTAACTCAATTAGTTTTCTAGTATAATTGGTTTGGCATTTGCATCTAGTCATTGTGTTCATTATGTTTTGGTTCATCTTTGATGCCAACTGATTTACCAATGTGTGACACGGAATGAAATCAGTATAGCATACAGCCCCACTTTTCTTGACGCATTTGTTGATAGCTTGCATTCGCACATCTTTAGCAAAACATGCATTCGGGCAAAGCTTGCTTGTGTTGTCATGTCTTTTATACATGGGTTTCATGTGGTGTTTCAAATCGATCTCTATTAATCACATCACCATATGAGCCCTAAGTTTCAAATTCTTGATATCGCATTATGTCTCTTGGAAGAACCCTAAAACAATTGATTTGAACTTTGGAATGAGAACAATTCCAATCAATACGAGAATTATATCAATCAAAGCATGTACCTGACAGTAATCGGAGTTTGGTGGTGTAGGCGAATCGAAAGGGATGTGAGGATTTAGATGTAAGGGGATAGGATGTGGGGAAATAAAAAAGATGCTAAAATTATATCTTTTGTTAAGTAGTCTCACATTGTTCTACTTATTTCGGTTGATAAAAATTTATTTATTTATGTCTTTGTAGTGTGTACCAAACACACCTCTTTTAAACATGTATAAGATTCAAAATTAACACTTCAATTATCTTAAGAGCATTTTTGTAACATTTAGTTATGAATCAATATATGTAACATTTCAAAACCTAAAGTTACAGGTTGGCCAATAACTTCGAATCCAACTTAAAACTATAGTAAAAGTTATTAGTAACCCAAAACTTGAGTCTTATAAAGCTCACAAATCTCACTTCCCGTCTAGATAGAACAAGTTGTTACGCAATAAATTTTAACTTTCAAGCCCATATAATATAGCAAGATTGGTTTTAAGTGGTATGCTTGCACAAATTTTAACCTTTGGAATTCGTAATACATATATATATATATATATATATATATATATATATATATATAATACACAATGTATGGTTGTCATTCTAATATGATTTTGTTTGGGGTATGTTAACTAAGGGGCCGTTTATTAAACACTTACTTGGTAAGTGCTTAATGCATAAATTTTCTCATCGGATGAACATGAGAAGGGCCAAAAATCTTACCGAGTAAGAACGATGAGAATGTTGGAGAGTCTTACCCGGTAAGTGAGGATGACAACTCTTACCCAGGTAAACGTTTGCCCAATAAATTGTTGCATTCGATATGTTTTGATGTACTAAAATCTTACGCATCAAAATTAATTATAATGTTGACTCATATTGGTAAGCATTTACCGGATAAGTATTTGGGTAAACGGCGCATAAATGTCCCATTTGTCATTATGTTCTTTATTAGCTATATATTTTATTTTAACTTTCAAAATTAAATGGTATTTATTAAAATTCTAAAGCTTGATTTCATCATGTGTGCTGTATCGGAATCAAACAAGTTTTAGGAATTAAATATTTATAAACCAAGTTTAGGGGAGTTTTTTGTTTTATTGAAGTGGTTTTATAAAATTATGTTTTATTTTATGTAATTTTGCATTAGTTAATATTCCACCACCCCCGCACCTTTGGAAGTGCATAATTTAACTAATCAAATGATTGTTCTTCATTATACTCATAATTGCTTTTTTTAAGATCATAAAGTCCCATTCTTCCATATTGAAAACCTAGTTTTTTAATCCATTTAATTATAAATACTTAGAATCGGAATTTTATTATATTTTATAATAACCTTTTTTTTTTATAATTTTATATTGAAAGCCTTTTAATTATTCAAGATACCAGTGAGATATATTTCGATTTTAATTTTGTTTTATTTTTTATCCATGTTGATATAATACGGTTTTACATGAGTTTGAGAAATCAATAATATTTTTATTTTTGAATAAAATATAAATTTGAAGATTCATAAAACATCAAAAAAAAAATATACCGATATTAGTATCAAATTAACTATTAAAAAATTCTCATTTTTTGTATAATTATTTTAATTCAATTTTTATTATAGTTTAATTTATATTTAATAATGAAGTAATTTATTTTTGATTTAATAATATAATTATTTATAAAGATAATAATTAACTATTTTGTTAGAAGTCAATGATTATTCTAATTATGCTTTAGAGTTTTTATATTTAGAATAAGATGTTTATCTTTTATTTGATTATGTTTATCTACAGTTAGATACACGAATTCAAAAATAAAACTTTAATAAATTGTACTTATGTACAATTTACTTGTAATCTTGAACTTTAAGTAATATACATTAATTAACAGCACCTTATGTATAAAAATAATTTTTAAGAGTTTTCATCAAATATTTTATAATATAGTATAAATATATTCGATTAATGTTATACAAATCATAATGATACATGTCTAATTATTAATATATAGTTACCTAAATAAATATTTAAGACTAGAGTTTGCTGTTCACCTCACATGGCTAACCATAAGTGATAGGCGTGCTGGCTGGGCACATGGTCCAAATATTAAAAGGCTTCTTAACCCTCCGGGTATAACGACTTCTCTGGCAATAGATATGATAAAAAGAATTCTCTCTTATTTTATTCATTTAAAATAGCATTTAATGAATAATTATCTATATTTATATCTTATCCTTCTAAATGGTGGATGAGATATAAATGTAAAAAAAACTTATTTTAAACTATAAATAATATCATTAAACATCAAACATATAAGTGCGTAGATTGTAATACAAACTTAGGGGCTGTTTACTAATAAACACTTATTTGATAAGTGTTTAACGTATAAATTTCATCATCAGATGAACATGAGAAAGACCAAAAATCTTACCGGGTAAGAGCGATGAGAAGGATGGAGTCTTACCCGGTAAGTGAGGATGATGACGTCAAAGACCTTCCAGCCTAGTGGTAAAGGCTTGGGCATGGCATAATCATGAACCCGAGTTCAAGTCCTGGGGGGGGGGGAGTGTTGGCGACATTTAAGTGGGGCCATGTTTAGCCTCCAAATTTGCCAGGGATTAGTCGGGTTTTGGCCCGGACACCCTTACAAAAAATATATATATATATATATATGAGGATGATGACTCTTACCCAGGTAAGAGGTTACCTAGTAAATTGTTGCATTCGATATGTTTTGATGTGCTAAAATCATACGCATCTAAATAAACTATAGTGTTGACTTCTATTAATAAGTGCTTACTGGGTAAACATTTGGATAAACGACACTTATTAGAAGTTGAGTGGGATTGGTGAATATCAAACATATAGTTTGAACGGGTTGAAGTCACATCGCCAACTACAATTATAAGCATTATTATCAATATGTCAAAGCAATATTATGTTAATTTTTTCTCTCATTTTGATTCTATTATTTTTTTTCCTCATGATTTATTTTTCTTTCCAATGTCAACTTATCTTAAAAATTGTCTTTTTCTTATCTCACTTTCAAGGTAATATAT